AGGCAAATCACGTACAACGTTCTTCGCGGACTACCGAATTGAATTTCGGACAACACTTACGACGGCAGTCTCATGAATAATGCACCGGTCGCGGTCGGCGGCCGCGGGTGTCGCACCCGGAAAAGTGTTGACCTCTTCGACCAAGATGGATGGGACATCCGTTGATTATCAAAGACAAACGTTCTCTCTCTCTCTCTCTCTCTCTCGACTCTTTTTTCTGTTTCTTGCTGCTGGCGCGTGTACGGTCGACGTCGTCGACCACCCCCAGCCACAGGCTTCGAGGGTCACATACGTGACCCCTCAGGATGGCGTGCCGCGAACGTTCCACTGATAATTTACAAGGACGATAGAAAGTCTGAATAACGACGCTGTTCGTGTAAACGCGTCCTCCCAGGAGGTCGACGCTTCGTTTGCTAAATTAAAAGCGAATGCATCTATATTGAAAATGTATACATATTGTAGAAACAGAGCCTTTGTATAATATTGTCTTCTATAACGGTTATTGTAAGAATCATTTTTATAAGGTTTTATTTTTCAAATGTGGAAAAACTGTTCCTGTAATTTTTGTATCAATTGCAAAATAAATTATAAAAATGACATTAAATATTATATAGATATACTCTCTCTTTATGAATTTTGAATAAAGAAAGCATATTTCTGCATTTTTTATTGGATCCACATATGTTACAAATTCTATATTTAATTTTAATTATGCAATACAACTTTATTTGGTAAATTAATTTATTTTTTTCTTAGAATCTACTGTTTTCTTAGTTTGAATGTCGAATGAATTATTTTCGATGGATGTAAAAAATTCGCAGGAGAAACGGACGGACATAAAAACGGACGAGAAAAAAGTTTCGAAATGCACGAGATGATTTGCTTTCGCACGAAGGCTCACCGATGCAACGTAATATCTGGCCGCATGCGAAATAAGCTGATACAACGCCGCTATTACATTTCATTGCACGACATTAGATGAAATTACGTTACTTTTCGTAATGTTACGCCGAGCCTTGTGACTTAATGGCTTATTTCATCATCGTTCCACCGAGTATATGATACGTTCCTTTCCGTTGTGTGCGTCTTTTTAAGAATACCTTCGAGAGCTTGCATTGTTTGCTATCATTTCCATAAACATAATGTTGCATAACCGCGACATGCAATCATATCTATGGTCCAAGTCGATGAAACGCATCGATTTTAAGTGCAATATTTCTTAATATTATTTCTTAAAATCTTATTGTTCTTTTCACACGTGTATAATTTAATAAAAAATTTCATTTTAAAGAAAATCTACTCGAAGAGTTTATATAAAACAATTAGTCTATCTTTAAGATATGTTATAGTAAATTTCATTGAATTGGAGGCTGTACTGAGTAAGTACTAAGTTCATAGTAAATCGTGAAAACAAGAATTGATAAGCCTGCAACAGCAAATCGACGTCTTACTCAGCATTTCGCAGAGGAAGTCTATATAACGGCTGAAATTCGCTTCGAATCCGCTCGGTTCCCGATTTCCACGCAGACGAGAGTGGTGCACGTGCACAGGCATCATTAATCTTGCCTGACCAATGATCAACGACCTCTCTCATTGACTACGACGTACGAGCATGCGAGGCCTCGTACGTATGCGGTCCCTCGAACGACTATCGAAGAGTGCACGCGGCTCTTCTTAGTCTTCTTCGTCTACGAAAGTCCATAAAGTATTTCTAACAAATGTTTACACGTACTATGAACCATAATGAGTATTCTAATTGAGCTAATGAAAATGTATAGATATAATAACGTTCTTAGATATATTAATCTCCTTCTGAGCTATTCTATTGCATAATTTTCAGATAATGTCATTTTACAACAATAGATACATTCTAATTATATATTGAATTATATATTATAAAATTTATATTTTTTTATCAAATAATATATTTTAAAATAATATTTTTTGCTCATTTTTTCTTTTTTTTTTGTTTGTAAATGCCAGTCTTTAATTTTAAATTAAGCTCATGATTGTTCACATCGTTATTGGTAATAAATTACGCTTGGCAACAAAGATCGAGTTTTAAATGCGCCGCGTCGAACGTGACATTACACATAGAGCTATTACACGGCGAGAATTCTAATTGCAACAAATTTATCTCTCTCAATAAAACGCAATAGGCCATTGTCCGCCGAGGCACCTAATTAGATCGGAAATGTAATAGCACGTGGAATAAACTCCTGATATCCGCCCACGCACACGTGAATGCATGCGTGTCTTGGTTAAGTAATGTATATACTGGATGTTCCAGAGAGTCCGTATAACAATTATAAGGCGATATTCTCTATCAAAAATTGTATGTTCATTTTGTTATAATTTTCCAATTTGCAACATTAAATATCTCAATGATCTAAAATATATATTTATTGACAATCACATCGAAATTTATTTATATTAGAATATTAAATCAATATTAAGTCTGTTTAGAGAGAGTTAAGAAATGCTATTATTTAACCTTCATAGATTTTTCGATATTAAATCATAACTCGCTTTTAATCAGAGTAATATTGTTCTTTTTAGAAAATCATTGCTTTGCCTTCATTATTGAAAGCTATCTTGCTCTCGCAGACACCCGGTATAACTGCCCTGTAAAATGGTGTCACCGCCGCGCGCCATTGGGGTCGCAGGGATGCGAGTTGTTTCGCGAGTAGGCGGGGATTATTAATGACCACGAACCGCCTTATCTTTTCCACTTCCTGTTCGAGATACATAATACGTGGGCCACCTCGCGCGCAGTAGTTGCATCGCATCGCAACATTGTGCGTACGACTTCTCGGAGACCCGCGTTCTCGTCTCATTGTATGTGCCTCTCGCGTACCACCGCGACGCTGCGCATGCACCCGTGTATTTATCATCGCCCGAAATCGCACCCGCGTCGCGGCAAGGAATGACTTGAGAGAACGATTAATCGTCGTTATCTTCGATCGCGGAAAATTTTATTGCCATTGCCGTAGCACATAATATCGAACGGAATGTCTCGGCGAGTGTACGTTGTACAATTATGCTTCAAATTATGCTTCAGCAAAGTCTGAATTTTGTAATAAATTATATTGAATCGAAATATTTAACGCAAAAGTTCTAGCAAAATGTAACATCACACTGAAAAAAATACTAAATTTTAATAAATATTTGTTCGAATTGTTCTAAGTAAATCTTTACTAAATATAAACATATTATGATATTTATTTGAAAAATTATTAATTTGATGTAACTCATTGTTTTATTAAGTAAATATTTATTTACTGTAAAGTATCATAAATTTTTTTTTATATGCTACTTTAAATAATTTGTTTTGGATTTGATTTTAAAAAGAAATGAGGAAAGTATAGAAAAATACTGTTCTATACACCGAGCATCTATTCTTCTTTTTGATGAACCTATGAGAGAGGTTGAGGGAGTCTAAGAAAGAATATAAAAGCAACCCCCTGGAGGAATGGACGCTGCGGCTTCTCTTATTGGCGAAATTAAAGAGCACATAGAAATGCAATTGACGGCACTCTTTATGCAACTTCCTAAGGACATCACGGGTCCTTGCTTTTACCAAGAGCAATTCATGGATTTGTAGGTCCGATGAGAAAGAGGTCGGAACCCTCGCATGCGAGTTCTCGAGGGGTAGACTCAGATTTTCGATATTATTTGCTTTGTACTGCGCAATAAGGAGAAGAGAAAAATATATAGAATGAGAAGAGACGAGAAACTGTGCAAATCCTCGGTAACAGGAGGCGAACACGAGGCCCCTCCCCCCATCCCGTTATTTCTCCGGAAAATCGCTTCGCCTATAATAAGCCCAAACGATTGCTTCGTGAAATTGCTTTTCTTCAAACAGAGGCGTTTGATGTCGCATCTCCTTTTTGACGGATCGTAATCGCGCGCGTGTTAGTGCGCTCCGAGCTGTCGAGTTTCGCTGCTGGAAAGACGGAAAGATCTCTTTGGATCTTTAGCCGACGTTTCCTATTTCGTATTCATGGGCAAATGGGCGACGCAGAATATTTGCTCCGCGTGAATAACTTGCAAAGAATACAGTAGTCTTGTTATCTTTCAGTATTAAATACCATGATAT